AGTGATCAAATGTATACAGTGTGGGAGAAAAGAAAATGGTGCAATAAATGCATTGCACCGTGTGGCAGACACTTATCAAACGTATTTTTTTTTAAATTTTATTAAATATTTTTGGAATTGTAGCAATAGATTGAAAACACAAATGGTTTGACTGAATGAAGTCCGGCTGGATGGGATGTGAAACTCATTTACCAACACGTCTTTGTATAAATAAGAAAAAATAATGGTTTTGACCTTAAATGGTCCCCCATACTTGGGTTACCCGCTTACAAAGACCTTTCACCTTTTAAGATTTTGGGTTATTTAGTTTATTTAATTGTCAAAAACATCCTAAATTAAATGTGTCATCAATGAATACCACAAACCTTGAAATATATTGCATACTTCTCAAGTGTTGACAGCAGTAATTATCATTTTTAGTTCAGAGATTGATTTATCAGGAAGAACTCACAGAGTCTGCAGATGACGATGAGAGCAGCAGCCAGCAGAGAGCCCAGAACCAGCAGGACGACTCTCTCTGATGGCAGCTTGGAGGTTCTGGTTGGGTTTCCATGTTGGGAGGAAGCAGCTTCACCTGAACAACATTTAAAGGAGATCTTTGTTGGGAGTGGAAGATGGGAGGTTTGTACAGGTCTTTCTCCAAAGAGATATTTTCAGACATTTTTTAAAACTTGGATAAACTAAGAATCTCTAAACTAAACAATGATGTGTGCTGCTCTGATTTTCAAACATCACAGTCTTGTGTTCAACATAAAGAAATATTCAACACCATCGATCTGGATTGTGTATGTGGAGTTGTTCAAGTTTTGGTCATGATCTCTAGGTGTCTACACTATGCAGATGTGGAGGTCGATGGGGACAAGAGATGACATTTGAACTGGATTCTGAGAAGGACTGGAGACCAGTACAATAACACAAGTCCTATCAGAAAGCAGAACATTTTGCAGTTAGACTGAATAGACCTAAAAGTTTTCAGTTTCTGAATGAAGTTTTGTTCCCTATTAGAACAAAGAGGTCTAACATTTGCCCCACAGATTTTGGCAACCTGAACTTTTAATACAGGATGTTTATCAAGAACATCGGCTTTAGAAAACCACTTAAACCACTTCCTGACGCCTTTCTGTCAGCATCTTTCCACATTTTAAACACTTAAATTATTAATTTTCTTTTAACTTTATACCTACCCTGCAGATCTTCAGTTATTGACCAAATCCTGCCTTAAATTTATCCTTTAGTTGTAGATAAAGCTGTTTGCCACCAGTTTTAATGTTACATGTTGTCTAAAAAAAATTTTTTTTTTCTTGAATCTGGTTGTTGTCTGTCCGATGAACACGACTCGGCTCTGATTGCAGCTTCTTATGCTTTACCACCATATTCATCTTACCTTCTTCACAGCTCTGAGGACGTCTCATCATGGGGCCTCTTCGCTGAAAAACACAGAGACAGCTCAGCTACTTGATGACAAAAAAAACATTAGATTTTTACTAATTATTTATTGGGTAATGTCTATACTGGACCCTTAAACCTTAAACATTTAACACACAACAGGTTGTCCTTTAGATCAGATCAAAATAGGTTAACTTTCCAAATTCACACCTTTAAATCTTAGGTCATTAAATACTCACAGTAGAAAATATAAGTTAGTTTAGAAAGCAATATCTAAAAGCAAAATAAATATGCTAAGCAAAAGATTGAATAAATAGAAGATTTTAAGATTTATTCATTTAAATCTGCACTTATTTAAACAGACCAAAATCTTGATTCTTATAATTTAAAACCTGCAGATATGAATCAAACTTGCTCTCACAAAGTACATATTTTTGATAAGAATCCCATGAATTTTAATATATTTAAAGCATAGCTGCAATGTTTTCCATTAAATTTTGACTATATTGACAAAAACAACAGCAAAAACAGCAACAAATTCAAAACCTGAGTATCTTTAATTGTGAATGGGACAGAAATCATATATACTCACCATCAGTCTGTTTTCTCTCAAATTTCCTTTCAAATAAAGGACCCTGTCCTTCACCCTTATATCTGCTCTGGGTTAAAGAAACTTCCTGTTAAGTTGAAGAACAAAGAGGAAGAGGAAGAGACTTCATCTGCCGTCTTCTTCCTCATAATTCTGGTCATTTTTGAGTAAAAATTGGTGGATTGAAATTAGAGACTAGTGTTATAAGTGATCTGGTGTTGCTGATTTTATAAAAACATTTTCAACTTTTTCATGAAAAACTGAGAATCTGCTGCTTCAGGCAGGGTATACCCTGGACAGGTTGCCGTTGCAGAGCAAGAATTAACCTAACAGTCTTTTTTTTTTACTTTTGGAGGAAGGCAGAATAACTAGAGAGAATCCACTCTTGCATTGGGAGAACATGCAAACTTCATGCAGAAAGGCTGAGAATCAAACCCATAACCTTCCCGTTACAAGGCAACTGTTATGGTCTTGGTTCTGTTGTACTTTACTTTGCTCCTTGTTTTGTAGTTTTATTGGTTTAATTCCAGTTTTGTTGTAATTTCTAGATTTATGTTAGTTATGTTTTTCTATTGACCTCTTGTGTGTGTGTTCCTTTCCCCTTGGCTCCCTCGTTGTCTCCTCTCACACCTGCTCCTTGTCAGCTCGTTAGCCCTGCCTTTGTCTCAGTCAGCTACATATACTCTCCCTCTGCTCTCACTCTTTGTTGTTTCCTTGTTGTTGCTGATCCTGTCGTCGCTGTTGTCTTCTCGACTCGTCTCTCCCCGGCTCCTTGTGCTTGTTTTCCCCTGATGTCTCCATGGTTCTGGTCTGTGTAACATTTTAAGTTGGATTTTTGGATTTTGCCCCCTATTGTTTGTGTTACCATTAAACCTCTCTGCCTGTGGATTTGGGTCCTCTTAACCACAACCAAGACGTGACAGCAACAGTGGCACAAACTGCTCAACCATGCAGAACGCTTCTTAATACTAATAATTGAACTTTAATGATCTCACATTAGAGAAGCTTACCTCTGCATTTAACCCATCCCCTTTGGGAGCCATGTGCTGCCATTGTGGGGCGCTTTCTGTCGTGCTTTCAGTTGCGCTCATTGGTCAGAGCGTTGGCCAACAGGCACAGACATGGTTTGAAAAACTACCGGTTGTTCTCATCAACAATCTTCCGATGTCTCATTCATCGGAGCCAGACTAAATTACACATTTATTCTCACATTTAGTCTGGTTTATCAGGCTACTTTTACAGACCTACCATGAATATTTAAACATATTCAAGAAGGAAGACACTGCAGTACTTAATAAGTACATTTGCATAAAGGTAACATAATTGAATAATTAAAATAAAATAAGGATATAAAAGATTTTAACAAAAATGATATTAAAGTCGGACTAAAAACATAACTAATAATGATTAGAGCAGTTAAAGGCCACAATAAATAAATATGTTTTTAATCATGAATTACCGTAACATAGGGTTTCAGCGCATTTACAGTTTTGTAGGAGTCTATTTAACTATAAGTAAATATGAACGATTTAGTATATAGCTACAATTGTAGCCAAACCACATCAAATGCCTATTTATTTTAACTTGTTAACTTAAAAAAAACTCAGCAGTAGCCTCTGGAGAAAGCAGATCACTCATTTAGAAGAAACCACAGAAACTTCCTCTATTTGAATTATACTGAAAGACATTCTAAAAATGTTAAAAAACAAACCACTGGTGCTTAGAGATTCACTTATATATAGAAAGCCCATATTCTTATCTTCAGCTACCACAGTACACATGACAGATTAAATAATACTACTAATGCTAATTTATTGTATCGCCTCAGACTGGAAGAAGGTAAGGAGAGTGGTGAGAACAGCAGAGAAGATCATGGGGGCTCCTCTTCCCTACATTAAAAACATTTCATCCCAGCACTGCGTGTCCCGAGCCCGTGACATCATCACTGACCCCTAACCCCCCATGGACTGTTCTCCCTGCTGCCCTCTAGGAAGAGGCTTCAAAGCATCTGATGCAGGTCCAGCAGGTTCCAGAACAGGCTTCTTCCCCACCGCCGTTAGACTGTTGAATGTTATATTAAATGGGGTAATGAAGAAAAAAAAAACAGAATTTTGGAACTGTACAGTTATGTTTACAATATCACTGCTGCTTACCCTTATCAAGGCTGCACTTAAAAAAATATGAAAATGTCTTGAGAGCTGCACTAAACGAAATTTCATTTTGTATACACTTGTGTGTACAAAATTACAAATAAAGTCTATCTAAGTCTAAGTCATTGTCAAGGTAGTTAAAACGCTCCCCAGCAGTAGGTGCCAGGTGTAGAAGAAATTTCACTCTCTTTATTGTTGTAGCCCTAGAAAACACAGCAGAAGGAATGGGCGGGGCTAGTGGGTCAAAAATTAAAAAGAGGAGGGGCCAGAGAATGACATCCAATTATCAAGGGAAGGATTTTCTTAAAGCCAGTAACTGTCACTGTCAGGATCCGGGACTTTGCCCACCAGAGGGCGCCGTGGATCCAGGCCTGGGGAGTTTGGACTCAGCTTGATCAGCTGTTTCCAGTCCGCTGATTCGGAAGCTTCCTATTTAAGCTGTGTTTGTATGTCTCTCTGGGCTGGATCGTTTGCCTTCCTGTGCCACCATGCCTGTCTGAGCCTCTGTGATTCCTCTGGTTTTCCAATAAATATTGGACTTTTATTCCTCCCTCCGTGTCTGTGAGTCTGCATATGGGCAAGTAAACCAACGCATCATGACAGTCACAATGTTGAACTTCCAAACCAAAATGAAGACTGCCACTGGAGAAGTTGAGCTGAAGAATCTTTTAATGATCCACAAAATGACAAACTTACAAAAACATTTGAAGAACACAAAATAGGCATTAAGTCAGAAAACTTTCACAAGGAGAGCAAAAAAAATGGAGAAGAAAAAAACAGGAAGTATGGTAAACCCCAAGTCGTAAAAATAATAGAATGTGGAAGGGCATATTGAATTAATGCAAAACAAAATCTATAACATATTGATCCTGACAGTAACAATGCGTTGATATAACAGATGAGAAAAAAAATCCCAGATTTTATGATTATTTAAACAAATCTGGAATGAGTTCTAAATGTTTCAGACATTTTTTTTCTGATAAAATCAGCACCTCTGCAGCTTGATCCTGACCTCAAACTGTTTTATAGACTGAACCTGACTTTAGACACAAACAGAAGAACTCTGTATGGTTCCTGCACCTTTCTCACAGATGCTTTTCTGAAGATAAAGACAGGATATATCAAACCAGGACTTCAGATTGTCCACTCCTTTTTTCTCCCCCATCCTTCCACAGTCAGCTTGAGATGCACCATCTTTACTCAGGTTGTCCGGCTCTTGGTCCTTCCAGAAACTTGGAGAAGAGTCAAAAGTAAGCAGCAGATAAATGCCAGAGTCATTTTTCTTAAATAGACATGATTTCTCATCAGTCATACCTTTCATTTAACAGTGATCCATCCACCCACAACCATCTGCCTTCTTCCGCTGAGTCTGTCAGTCCAATCCAGAACTTGTCATCGTCATCCTTCATCAATTCTTTTAGTCTTTCTGCCAGGAAAATCTAAAAAGTAGAAGGTGATGAAAACAACTTATAATCCTGTTAGGGTTCCAGTTTGTGTGGGTTGTTTTTTGTGTAATTCCTCTCCCCACCACCAGGTGGTGCCCTGTTCTCGTTGGGCCACACTGCACACCTACGGCTCGTTGGGTCATTACCAGAGGAGTACTTGAGCTGCGGACTGTCACCACCTCGACGCCAGAGTGTCTGCCAGTATTGGGATGCCCTCCTGATCCACTGGACAAGCCTGGTCCTTCTACCCCCCTTGGAAGGAATAATTCGAGTCACACTGAGCAAGGGGAAACCTTCACCAGATCTGTTCTTGCCCACTTCAGGAAAACCTGGTGACAGTCCGTTCCATTGTTCCACGATTCTGATAATTTCAAATACTTCAGTATTGAAACGCCCAGATTATTCAGACTTCCTGTGAAGCTTGAGACTCTGTGACGTACGGTAATGAGGCCTCGTTCGCAGAGGTCACTGGGGTTGACTGGGGGTGTGCTCATACCACATCACAAAGACACTTCTGCTTCAAAAAGGTCGAAGCCGGAACAACCAGACTGCATGAGCCTAACATCACTACATTGCACTACTGTTACTGGACCTGTTAAGACTATCTGCATCTAACAAGATCCCATCTGGTAAACCTTCCTGACTTATAGGTAGTTAGACATTAATGTATATAGAAAAGGATGAATGACAGCCAATTGCCAATGCTTACAGCAATATATCATGCCTCCCTAGTCTGTAAACAATTTCAGTTTCATTTATCCACCCATCAATCTATCCAGGAAAATACATTAGTGAATATCTTATTTCAAAAGCAGCAAAATTGTTCCCATATTGCCAAGGTCTATGTATTGATATGATTGGTGGTGACTGTCCCCACCAGGCCAAAGTTGGCGTGGACATGTCCACACCAGTACTTCAAAAAGTTAACCATGACAATGAATCTGCAGCAGTGTTTCATACCTGCTCATCTCTGCTGTCTATCTTCACCAGGTCTCCTTCCAGATCTTTACACAAACGTCTGCCGTTCTCCCAGGAGGATTTATTAGTGGAGAAATAATAACAGTTTCCTCCATGTAGCTCCCAGCCTGCTTCACATTTCCAACATGTTTCATCTGTAAACAGATCAGAAAAAAGACCTCACTGAGTCAGGAGGAAAAAATCTCTGTAGATTTGGAGTGATTTGGAGACAGCGGGAGGCGTCTTCTTTCCTGCAGTTACAATCTAACTTCCTGTATCTATCAGTCCATCAATGTCAATATAACATCATTAGAAGACAGAAATGGGACAAAGATTAAATCCCAGACTTACTTTTTACTTTTGGAGGTGGAGAACATGGGCTGCATTGATTTATTTCTGTGAAAAAAAAAAGTTTTCAACTTCAGACAAATTAAAGGAATAGTACACCCAAAACATGACTAGCCTTCATTTTCTACTCACCCCCATGCTGAACAACACCCTGGAGTGCTTTTTTGATATCTCAAATGCATCTGGAGATCTGGGAGGCTTCTTGCTGTCTGCTGA